ATCTTCCGTACATGTGCAGGGAGACCTATCGGGAACGACTAGCCAGTTTGCGCCTCTTACCACTATCTTACTGGCATGAATACTTGGATGTCTTGTTCTTTTTCAAAGCAGTGAAAGGCTTGGTGGACGTGTCCCATCAGTGACGTCCTCCCTGAAGTCATACCAAACCAGAACAACCAGATCCTCCTGCGGCAACCAAATCTCCTTTCGGCCAGCCAAATGTAAAACCACTACCTACCAACGCTCCTTCTTTATTCGTGTAACTAGATCCTGGAATTCCTTACCAACCACAATAAAATCTCCTGGCATTAATATTAAGCAATTCAAAACCGCTTTACTAAATTATTACCTGACAGCCCTGATTGAATGCTTCAATGAAGAAGATCCGAGGACATGGAAGACTATTTGTCTGAAGTGCAACACTAGCCGTCTCTTACATTCTAAATTAACTTGTTGTTTTTAGAATCCTATCATATTGTATATTATGTTAATTGTGTGTCTTTTTGTTCAAAGGGCCCACAGTAATTGGTTTTCACTGTTGTGGTGTCCCTGCTATTCTTGTCCTTGTTTTGTCCAGACGCCTGTTCGACGTCCTATCATTTGTATTAGCAAAGTTAAATAAATAAATAAATAAATATTCAATCTCCATCATCTCATCAGTGGATTGGACAATATGGAATAAATCTGGAATATGCCTATTTACCAGCAAAACGTCTTTATCGGAGTCTTGGCTTTATGGAGCGATGTGGTACTATATATGTTGATATTCTTTATCGCATAGGGCATCCATTGTGCCGGTACATCTGTCCCAATATTGTATTCGCTGGTCCCTTCTTATTTAAATGTTGAACTAAAACAAGTGCCTGTGTATCTTGATTTTTGGTATCGCTGCGCATTCATTGGACCAGGAAAATTTCGGGAAATTTCTCAGCGTTTATGTTGACATTAAACAGGTGATTGATAAAGTAATTTGTTCTTACCCACATTCAATTTAAATAACTAAATAGAGATTACTTCATGGTTGGCGAGTGCGTACGATTTTTACACACGAGTTGTGAAGAATCGCAAAACGAACGAGTGAGCGTAGCGAACGAGTGAGTTTGCGATCCTTCGCAACGAATGCATAATGAAAATCCTACAAACGAGCCAACCATGAAGTAATTTGTTTATTAAATGTGTATAGAGATCAATTTGACAACGACACGCTTTTAATATACAAAAACACAGCGAGCAACAAAATCGAAACTTTATGCATCAAAACATATTTATTACCGTTCAGTTTCTTTGTAATTTTGTTTAATAGAAGTTAGATATTCTTTTCGAAAGATTTGAGAATGTGCTGAGTGTAAAAATATCTTGAATATGAGAATAATGTTATGAATTTCACTCCTATATTTCGACGCCATCTTGAAAGAAAATGTAAACAAATTGCCGCCAAAATGAAATACGACAATTTTTCACGTGTGAAGAATATCGTACGTCCAATCAAAAGCCGTGTATGGCATTTTTTCACACGTGAAAAACATCGTACGTCCAATCAAATTGCATGAAATTAATTCACACAGTGAAATACGATTTTTATTTCATCATTCTGCTGTGCATAAATCTCTATACACATATAATAATTTAAATAATTCCACCATATCTGGGTGGAATCGTTTCTATATATGCGTAAAACATGCTAAAGCAAAGAAAATTCTATTCAAATTTTATATTGCTCTGATGCATATTTTAGCTTGAATAGAGAATCAAACTCTTTTATATACCAGCACGTGTAAGCTGTTTCAAGGAAAATGAATTTTTTTTGGAAAATGAAAGTCTTTTTACGAATGTATATAACGCTTGTTAATAGCTTTTTACATTTTACCAACTTTAAAACCCAAAACATAAATCTACAAATCTACAAAAAGTGAGAAAACGCAATAGAAACGGTGTGAAACTGCAATAGAAACGGTAGTTGACAGACATTCCAAAGTTAGGAGTGATAGGCGAAGGTCGCAATAAAACGAATCTACTATTGGACGGATTCGATTCAAGTTCTTAAGTGTATTAACACCAGAGTAAAAGATTCGATGGACACCATTGAATCCGGCTAACCGCCCAATAGTAATACACAACGGCTCAAGCTCCATCCCGATGGATGTATTTAAATCGAGATGCTAACCCTGCCAACGATGCCTCCAAGGGAATTGAATTAGACGCCATGATATCCAACGATAGATGGTTAAAAAGCCCTGAACTCCCTCGGATGTTCGAAACCGACTGGTCTCATGGTTCAAGTCGCAGTCCAAGGCATATTCCTGCTAGTGTATTCCTGCTGGTGCATTCCAGCTGGTGGAAGCCGAAGCGCTCCGTCGTTGTTACGGTGTAACGAGGACAATCGGTTGTCAAGAGATACGGTTGTCTCTTCACGTGCCTAACAACGCGAGCGGTGCATATAGAGATCGTGAATGCATTGGATAAAAACTCCATGAAGAATCATATTGATCAAATATATTACAGTCAGTATAAGGCTGACCGCGCGTGTAAACAATGTCGAAGACTGAGTCAGAGGCAGATTTCTGGGCTACCTACATACGAGGTTGCCCTTAAGAGATAAAGAGCGTCAAGGAACTGAGACGGAGTATTGAAGAATGGAATAACAGACCAGAGACTACAAAGAAAAATCAAAAGGGATTTTAACGGCCAACTAGAGAAATTTTTAGAGCGATTTTAACAGTTGGTTTTTGAAAAGGTCCTGAAGACTGTGCCGGGCAACCTAATCTCTGAATTCTCACGAGAAACGGTGACAGTCATCAGTATGTTCCGACTTTCGAGGAGAAACTTAATTAAAGACAGGATATTGGGTACTTGTAGCGGATGGAAATTAGCGGAGAGGACAATGGCCATTAGCGACAGAAGTTATGTCAAGTAAATACAGTTACGTACGCATTGTGAAAATGAAAACCAGTTCAACGGTATCGACAAGAGTGAGACAACGAAAGAAATCGAGGTCAGTTCAAGAGCAATACGACGATCCAGACTTGACCAGTGGCAAAGTTGTTTGACTTGTGTCTGCTTATATGATGGACGGAAAAGAACCATGCTGAACTATAAGCCTGTCCAATTGACAATTTAATTAATCTAACTTTCCTATTTTGGCTATTTCAAAGTTTTGGGTGGAGTTTGGGTGGAGTTTTTGGGTGGAGTTTGGGTGGTGGGTTTTGGGTGGAGTTTTGGTGGAGTTTGGGTGGAGTTTGGGTGGGGTTTGGGTAGGGTTGACTTGTCACACTAAGGGGAAAACATGCTGAAAATATGCCAAAGTGTTTCTTGCTTGAGACCCTGAGTATGATGTTGGTGCAGGGATGGGTTGATTCCTCTAAATATGCCCAATGGTATTGCAAGAAAGAATGCTGAAACGTGCATTATGCACAGTGAATGCAACCACAGTTAATAGAATATACATGGTTTCGAGACTACATAAAAGTACAATAGAACTCATTAACTATGTCTGGAACATTTATGCAAAAATTGTTCCTTATTTGTCACATGTCTATTGTATTTTGAACAAAGAAACCAATAGTAAGGTCTGAATTAACATTTTGTTCAAGTCACAGTTGAAGAGCTAAGCCAAGCCATTGCTATTGGTCAGTTGGGAAAAATACAATAAACATGTGACGGATAGGGAACCATTTTTTGCATAAACCTGGACAATAACATAGATAATGAGTTGTATTGTACTTTCATCTAGTCTCCAAACCATGCATATTCTAATAACTGTGATGCAACTAATCATTTGGTCATGTGTAACCATAGGAATCCCAATAAATATTTTTCAAATAATAAAAGTTTGTCCAGTTGCGTTGTGAGTTCAGTGACATCGGTGATCGCAACCTATACCAGATATACTGTAATGACACTGACCTATACTAAGATATACTGTAAAGAATATATGTCAGTGCTTGCAACGCATAAGATGGCAGCTATTATGCAGTGAACTCCATATATCGCTTATATTATTTCAAAAATATTTATTGGAATTCGTCTTCCTAGTTCCAGGCCTTATAAGCGCGCGAATGCAAGGCGAAGTGCAAGTGAGCTCTATGGTCAGGGGCCGTTGTATAAAAACGTAGTTAGCGCTAACTGCGGTTAAAAAGTAGTTAAAAGTAGATAAAATTAGTTAACTTTAATCAAGTGGTTAAGCCGGTTGTATAAAAGTGTAGTAAACTATCCAGTCTATCCTCAAGGGCATCGTTACTTTCCAAATCGTAGCTATATTTAAAAATGGCGTCTTGAGCTTTTGAGAAGTGAGAAAACATTAAAATCAACACATACCAAGGTTCTGGTTGTCAACCGTTATCCACTCAGAAAAGGCCCCGTCGAAGCTTGTAAACTTTCAATATGCTTTTATTTTTTTTCATTTGGGCAGCAACGGAGTATATTTTTTGCTTCGAGAGACGTGTCAATGCCAAGTTACGATCCTAGCAAAGATTAGCCATCTTCTATTTCAACTGCCACCAGTATTTTGACTCAAAGGGACATTTTTGTATTAAGAGCGGCTTTTTTCGTTGAATTATTTTGAACTTTTTCCTTGTTTTATTGCATTTTCTCTCTTGCATTTCCTCAAATATTTTAGATCCAAATTCGGTCAATGTATTTGTCTTGTTCAACAGCGGTGAATATTTTTTTACACTTCATGTTATTTCTCTGTTTATTATTAACCCACGCAAGCTCCCCCAAGCTCCCCCAAGTTATTAATACGTTAATTAACAATTATTGGATGAGATTGAGTGTGATATCGAGAATTATCAACCCGAAGTTTGCATTATAACGCAAACTGAGGCTTGATAATTCTCGATATCATGCGAAAACCTAATTAAATAATTGTTTTATTTGGTATTTCCTTTTTGGAGAGGAAACCTGCGTCCAGAGGCCTAATAATTAATGCATATAACTGGTTATAATCGAAAAGGATCTCCTACCCTGAGCTATATTAAATTTCTCCTACCCGCAAAATATCACCGCCCGCCATATTTGCCCGAAAAGGGCCTGCGAAGGAGATAGGAAAAAGATGCAAGATGCAAATAATCAAAATTCTAAACAAAGCTACGCACCTTGGAAGAAAACAGATAGAAAACAGGTGAAAGACTAGGTGAACTGGTGAAAAACAGGCTGAACGATTGACATTATTTCATTATGAGTTACTTCGGGCCAGCAGGTTACGAAGATGACTGGGATGATGATCAATTTGACTTCGGTGATCATTACGATCCGGAATATTCTGCACATAATTCCTATCCCGCAACCAAATTTAGCGAGAGTACAACAAATGTGAAATCACAACAGAAGAATGATGCCGCACAAAACCCATCGCTTAAAACCTCGCGATTCAACGGCGGTTTTGGATCACCATCAGATTTGAAATCAACAGTTAATATGGGAACTGCAGGTCGAGGGCGGGGAAAAGGAGGTTTTTCCGAAACCAAATCACAAAACAATGGTAAAACAAACAGTTCTGAGGTTAAAAAAAGTAAAGGACAGGGAAACTTTCTATTTTTGCGGGCAAAGGACAAAGCGTACGTATTTTATATGTATTAAGCATGATCTCTGTGTAATGACTGGATGTGTCAAAACATGTGGCAAAAATGTTGAAAAAAATGACAAAACGTTGGTCAAATTGCTTAGTTAATGGTCAGAAAATATAGTATCAAATTTAACCTATATAGTCATACTTAAAATAGGCTGCTTCCAAAGTCTAGAGGCGTTATAGGCTTTAAAAAATTTTCTAAATCTCTCAACGGATGTTGACCAAATTTCCACACCCATGTCATTTAGATATCATTAGGCTTCAGGAGCCTAATTATTTATATTCATCAGGCTATGTTGAAATAAAGATTCAATACATCCCTGTACCTGATAAGAACATTGGTCGTTTTTCATTATGAAAAGTTGGGCAATATCACATTCATGACACCCCAGTTCCAAATTGCTTGCCAAAATCCTAGCTGAGGATAGAATATTTATAGGATATCAACTTACATATGTGTTGTTTATTCTTATGATTTTCAATGTAATACAATAAAGCAAGAGTGAAAATCGAGCCTTCAGTTCTATTCACATGAAAATATCCCATATATGTAAATGCACATTTTATGAACGCATTTTGAAATCTAAATTTCTGGGGAGGAAGGTACACTCTGTTTTGGATATCCCTTGGGCAAAATCTGAATCTTCTCCCTCATTCCAGGAAAAAGAATTCTGATGAAAAGAACTCTCAAATTGCTGAAGATTTCCGAGCTGCCATTGTCAATGGGGATCTTGGTGTGATTCACAATATCTTGGATAAAGGTGAACTTTTTTTGGCAATAGTGCATTAATGTGTTGACACCTTACATCTTTTTTGGGTAGGGTTTTTTAGTGGCAGCGGAAGATGTGCCATACGGGGGGGGGGGGGGGCTAACATTACAAAGTTTCCGGCAAAAGGGAATTATAGCTGCCATTTGGAATTCTAATTTTTATAGCACTGGTTAATAAAAGTTGACAAATTTATAAATTCTGATATTCATTAAAATTTAGATAGATGCAATATAATATGGCAGCACTCTTACTAAAACATTGGGGGAGGAGATTTACCCCCTAGCCCCCCACTTTATTTATTTCCAGTTCTATCTGTATTACATACATCCTAATAATTATAACCTATAAATATGTGAATGTGCCATGTCTTTATATTATTTAGGAATTTCAGTAGATTGTATTTTAAAATCTGGTTGGACTGGACTGATGCATGCAGCAAGCTGTGGCCTGCCTGAAATGGTCACAGTTCTGACTGAACGTGGTGCGAATGTAAACTTTCAAAAAGGTCAGTTCCATAAAAAAGTATTTTCCTTGCATCAATTTTGCTTGATATATTTGTAATAATTAATTTTTTCATTTTCAAACCTAAACAGCAACTGTGATTGCCATGCAAATTATGCAATGTAATTTGATCATACAGTAAATTTCATAATTATTTAAACTTAATTTCCACCTACAAACATGAAGCAATTTTCACATTAAAATTCCCACCAGAATCACTAGGTATAATAATCATGTAATCCTAGAGGCTGGTAAATCAGTAGGTTAACTGTTAATTGGCTTTAAGGGTTGCTTTGTATTATATAATTTTGTAATAATATATACAATAAATGTACAATTTTGATCAATAGATTAATTGTAATTAATGATTAATTATGCAAAATGTAAATAAGGCTCTTTTGTAGAGAAAGTCAATAATCAGCCCGGTTTTATTTTTGTTTTGCTACTATTGTATATTTTTAGATATGTTTTCAGTAGTGATGGCTGCATGCTCTTCAGACAGTGATGCAGAAGACGGAGTAGCAGAATGTTTAAGCATTTTGATAGAAAAGGGAGCTAAGATAAATTCTCATGACAGGTATCACTGTTCCTTGTTATCTACAGTACTGTGCAAAAGTTTTAGGCCCCTAGTCAAATTACCACTTGTTAATAAAATTCATGGTATTGCAAGACATGCTAGGCAGAAAGACTTCTAGTGGTCTTGCACTTGGAACAGCCACCATGAGAGACCATTATTGCAGCACATTGCCTAGTCATTGACCTAACAAGTTTGTTTGTTACATCTGGATCAACAGCCTCATGTGATGTGAAAATAGTCTCTTTGATTCTTCCACATGTCGAGATGGTCTTTTATCTGACCTCTTCCTCACTTATTCTCAAAAATATTCAATGAGGTCAGCAATCTTTTAGAGTCTCTTATAGCTGGTCAATCACTTTCTTTCAGGCTCTTTTCTGTATGACATGGTGCCCCATCTTACTGGAAGATATAATTTCCACCACAAAGCCATCTCATCTATTAGGAAAGTTTTAGATGCAAGCCAAACATACCATTTTCTGTATGTTGGGACTTTCTGAAAGGTGGAGAGAACTTTGCGGTTCAGACTTTATCTTTGAACAAGATAGGGCACCATGTGACAGAAAAAAAAGCCCAACAGAAAGAAATATCAATCAGTACAGGGCAACGAAAGAATTCTAACCTAAACCTGTTTCAATATCTCTGGGAATAATGAGGAAGAGGTCAGATAGAAGACCATTTCGACGTCTGGAAGAATCAAAGAGACCCTTTTCGCATCATGTGAGTTTTTTGGAGTTTAGTTCCAAACGTAAGGCTCACTGTAGTTGGGTTTTTCTTAAAGTATTTTTTTGTAGGTATCATATGACACCACTGATGTATGCTTGTCGAAATGGTCGGCAGAAAATCGTGGAAATTTTATTGCGTCATAAACCCGACGTGAATAAGCAAGATCAGAGAGGCTGGACGGTAAATTTTGTTTCCTCAGGGCATTACGCCGGGCCAATTCAATGCATACTGCAAATACTCTACCTCTATAATTTGAATTTAAATTCGTGCAAAAGAACTAAAAACGATTATTCAACATCCCCCCTCCCTGAGTTATCATTCCAGTCGGATTTTGCCGGCGGGCCATGCACTTTGCGAAGAACATTTTTAGTATCTGTTGTAATTTTCCAATTCGTTGGACTGCAGCATTTTAAAACGTACAGTTCAATTTGACAAGCTTAAAAGAATACAGTGAACACATAACAGCCCTATGGGTTTGATGTTAACAAAATTTAATTGTCTCGTTAGTCTTGCGGAGCTAATCAAACTTCGTGTAACATCAAACTTTCCGTGTTTAACATCATTATAAGAAAGGCCTCCCGTATCACCAATCGAACCTGATTTGCTGGACATTGATTCACTTTAGGCTCTTGGATGGGCGGCTAGTCGTGGCAAAGGTAGGATAGTGCGAATGTTATTGGACGAAAATGCAAGTCCTCGATTATACACGAACGATGGACAGTCCGCTGAAGACTTGGCGTATGATGGAGGCTTTACGGTCGTAAGTTTGTTTTTTATGCCAGCATGTAAAATACACACTTAGTCGCAGCATACCATGTGTTATATATAGTTCAGATTTTAAAATTTAATATATTGAATCTAGCCGTTGCAGAATTCAAGTTTAGATAAGTGTTAAGAATTGAAGATTGTTGCGATCACTTGCATGCTTATATTACATCAAACATTTTCTTGGGAATAAAATGGAATTTAGAATTGGTGTTAGGTTTTGATTGTAGTGTGAGAGTTGTTGGGAACTTTTATTCAGTTAGTCGCTAAGAATTCAAATTACTACAATTCGGTTCATGGGGAATTAATAAACATTTTTGTCAACTACATCCTTTTCGAAATTTTTCAAATTCCTTCTGCATTAGTGGTTCATACTCGGTCTTCAAATAGATAATATTGAAATGAAAGTCCCTGAGTGTCAACTAAGAAGTGTATGATAACCATGATTTCGACATTCAAGTCTTGCAGTCTTCTGATTTCCGCATGACTTACCTGACGTTTAGGTCGCAGATGTTCTCAATAGCATTGTAAATCCAGGAAGACGCATAGAGCAAGCATTGTAAGTCCTTAGTTTATATAGACCCATAAAATTTACCTTATTACGTCAAAAAAACAATACCAATTTAAATTGGTTACCTCAAATATACTTGTTATTTTATTAGGTAAATAAGTTATTCAATAAAGAATTATCGATTGACGCAAACCAATTCTTTTTTATCAAATAGAATTGATCCAGAGATGATTAAAAAACAACCGATTTGAAATTAGCTGTTTTTAACTGTTTTTACAGAGTATGTTTTGTGATTGAGCGTGGTTTAAATGAAAGAGAATGACGCGCCCGGTCTCAAAACTCTGGAAGTAGTATATAGATTTCCGATGCATTATTTTATATTATGTAGACAAAACAATACAGGATCTGAGATAAGACACGGCGAGAAAAGGTGAATACAGTATAGTGCAGATGTTATTATTTTTTATGTTCTTCGAACTATATATGGAGAAGTATCATGCATGTCAATCATTTCCCCCATGCATGTACAGTAAATGCTATTTATTAATAGTAGTGAAATACTTTCATATTACTCTATTGACATGACAAAATTAAAGTATATAATTTTACCTTTTATGCAGGTTGGCAGTACATTTCTCTCGTATTATGTCTGTTAGTTTATTAAGTCTATTATAGAAAATAATTTTAGGACCTTCGTCCTGATATCCCTCATCGCCTTTTATAATCCAAAGATAAAGGAGATACTCTCCTTTTAGTTAAGACATTGTATTTTAGCAATCTGAGTCTAGTAACATGTGCATACATACTGACATTTGTAGTGACTGCGTACGATATGGGGATTTAGAGCTTTTTTTATTTGGACTGGAACTAGGCCACCTTGTTCCCCTATTCCAGGTATATGTTGTAAACTACTGCTGTATTTTTACTTTCAGTAATATTCAATATATTATTTTACGCGTGCCTGTTCTGTGTCATATCTGATATACTACTTCTGGCCACATCCTAAATCCACCGTATACCGCACTCTTTCTATCAGAAAGATACGATTAACCAGTACGATTATTGTAACGATACCAATATTTTTCTTGCAGGATCACAAAATAACTTTTGATGGCTTTCTGCAATTAACAGATGCGGAACTTCAGCAGGTCAGATTTTAAATTCAATTCGTACGCTGTTGGTCTACGTCTTCTAAAGTAAATCCTTACGTTTTAGATTGGCATTAGTCAAATCGGTATTCGTAAGAAGATTTTAACAGCTACGCACGATGTACATACGAAAGAGTGGGATTTATCTAGTCTTCCATCTGAGGCGACCAATCAGATAACGTAAGGCTCATTTGCAGCTATATTTCCTGATATTTTTCTTCCTCTAATTTTATTGGGCGAGTGTATAGGAAGCGAGGATATTATTGGAATACAATTTTACATTTCTGGCGTACTGATCATTCAATTTCAACTGCATTTTTTGTGTATATAATAATATAATGATTCCTAATATATTCGACATCTCGGGATGCCTACCGTTTACTTCGGGAATCGCTAATTCCAGTTGGAAAAGCCAATGGTACAAGAACTTTCCTTCGAAAAGTTTAGAAATTTTCGATACGAATTCCTTTGTATCATTTGCCTTTCCGACCAGAATTTCCTATTCCCAAAGTTAAATGGTACATAAGTACCCCAGCATACTGTATGGTGCATTTACTTTCATCGTAAAGCCTGTGAAAAATTCTACCATCTAATATCTAACAACCCTTCACACAAACTTTCTAGCTTACTGCAAGAGACTCTGTTACCTATGATTTAAGATGTAGGCGTAACTTTCAACTACCTATTTATTGCAAGAAGCAATAGATTTTTAATATATTTTATTCATGCTAGTATCAGAGAATTCTCGTAAATTTGTATATAGTTTTATATTCTATTCTACTTAGGTTTTAAATATGTCTCGTAAGACGTCCTTAATTAATTATTACATTGTTATGTATTTTAAATAGTACAATAACTTTTGTGTTTATGTACATGCAACACGTAATTCAGTTTGTAATAGCTGCAAAGTGTTAATTTGAAAAAATATCTATTTTCCTTTTCAGGAGCGACGATTTAAAGCTTGTTCTAGCTAATGTAGAAAAACATCTTCAATATATCAAATGCAGTATTGGATACGTTACCAAGTCTTTGGTTGGAGCAGCTGGTCCAACCACCATCATACAGGTATCACCATTTAAACAACTGCGCTCTTTTAAAACAACTTGTAACGACAAGTTATATATGTACGTATATATATATATATATATATATATATATATATATATATATATATTATATATATATTTATATATAACCTCTTCTTCTGTATAGTATACAAACTTTATTGATTGCACTCATGAAGGCCCGGGTTAACGGACCGAAATCTTTCCAGTAATAAATGCTAATTTACTTTATTGAATATGTCCCCATGCATGCATAGCGTTTTTACTCGTTTGTGCGCCGCATTTGCGATCATTTTTTCTTAAAGAGCGCCGCCCCCAAATGAGCACCGCAGTATAATTATTTTCAAATTCGGCGCTTAATCGACGCACGTCGGATTTGTTGAAGACGCTATTGTTAAAATTTTCGTAAGGCGCTGGTCAATCGTGAAGGCAGAGACTCAGAGATTGTTACAAATATGATAATTTTCAGGATACCGAGCATTGCCGGCAGTTTTTGGCCAGAACTGAGGATGTATTAACCGAAGTGAATGGAATATCTGACGAAATATTACGATTACAGTGTTCTGTTGAAGAGGTAACTTCAAAATCATACTTGGGCGAAGTCATTGTATTCCTTATAATATAATATTCAGGAATACCAGGGCGGCGAAACATCGTGTGATATACTTTAGGAGTGGGGTCCGCGAGATATATAGGGTCTACAGATATACGTATAAGATCGACGCCAAAAACGTTTTTGCCACTAATAGAAATAAGACGGTTATTTTGCACGTTGGTATATATTTTTATATATTATTATTTACTTTTTGTCGTTTATAGGCATTTTTACATTGATATATCATAGGCAGCCCGGTCAATGCGGGTACCGCAGTCCGCATACTATCTTATGTAAAAGTGGATTTCCTTTCGCTCTTTGTTAGAATGTGACAAATAACTTAGACAAAACTTCATATTTTTTAAGTACGTGCTGGGTGACAGAGATCTTAATTCCATCCTCTCATATTTCACGGCGTTAATTTATTAACCTTTTTTTGCAATAGCTTGCTGCACACAGCATACAAACGACATTAATGCGTCTAACTACTCGTACGAACTAAAATACACAGGGGGCAGTACGCGCATCAGATATACATCAGGGGCCGATTGTTCGAAAGGCGTTTAGCTTAAACGGTGGATAAGTCAAACATAGAAAACCAAATTATTTATTTATTGAACTGTAGGTTTGAAACCCTAACTTTGTTATCGTCATCGTATGTCGTTAATTTCCGTTTTGTTACTTCCTGCGACTACACGCGCAGCTGCACACAGTTTAATGTTTCATTGTATTGTATATCACTGTCAACTAGAGTATGGTCACTCTACTCTACAATTGATTATTTACGTTCATGTTCGAACTCTATCGACGGTATTCAGCAGCAGTTTGGTGTGTGCGCCAACTAAAGTAAGACTCTATCTTTGTGTTATTATAGTTTGTAAACATATGTAGCTACGTTAGTTGATTTATTCGTATTTAGTGCATGCCTGTTATAGTATTTAATTTGCCTAGATTGCATGACTTAGTGCGGTTTAATTCTTGTATTTTTAGTTCGAACGTTACCCACTATAATTCTATTCCGCGATCACTCTATTCAATATTCCGTTACCGGATTGATCAGTTACCATATACCTTCAACCGCACAGTATTATAAACTTTATCATTAAAGATACATTTTATAACCATTATCCGCGCACGTGTTATCCTATCATCGTGGTTAGCGAATTTAGTGGAGTTCAATTTGTGGCGTTAACGGCACACCAAAGCAGCGTAGCTCTCAGAAGAATTTGGGAGTTACATTAGTTCGAATTTAGTTCGAATTCTACTCGTTTGCATCGTCAGAATCAACGCTCTATTGTGCTTCAACAGTAATAGTATCCCGCTAGCATTGTATGCGACGCGTTGTAAACCATCTGGTTCAAATCTCATCACGGCGCGGCGATAAACGCGACCTCGGCCAATAAACATTGTCTATCGCGAACCTTCAACTCGCAATGGAACAATCTATAGCAATCGACGACCTAAAGAAGGCTCGTAGCAGCGCAAAGGCCAACGTAACGCGCAAAGTGAATCGGATTTCGGAGTCGATGCTTTCAAGCGACAGTGTTGACGTTGTCAAGGAAATGTCAATAGAATTACAACATGCTACAAGCGAATTTAAGGCTGCTCATGAGGCATACAACAAACAATTAACGAATGAAGACGATTTGGATCAGTCTGCCAGCTATTTTCATACCGTGTTAGAACAAGTGCGCGCCATAGAAACACAAATGCAATCGTGGCTCAAACAACAATGCATTGACGTAATCGTACATCCGGAAGACTCAGCTAGCAACGTGGCATCGTATACCTCCTCGCGCGCTAAGTCTAAGACCAGCTCGACAAGAAGCTCAGCAAGCGCGAAAGCAAGAGCGGCAGCAAGATAGCAGCGCTTGAAGCTAAAGCTGCGTCTATCCAAGAAAGGCAAGAGCTCGAACTCGAAGAGCTTAAACTAAATCAAAGAAAAGCCAAACTCGAACTTAGGACTGAGTTAGCGGTCGCTGAAGCTGAACAAAGAGCCTACGAAGAAAGCGAAATCGAGGAAATACGCAGTCGTAACGGCAAAAGTGTTTTGCATAGTTCGCCACCGGTCCAGCGCAAGTTAAATCTCACCGACCAACGACTCGAGAATGCCCCAAAGGTTTCTTCAAGTCCCGAAGCTAAGCCCGCTGCCGTAGACATGTCTGCACGTCAAACACTCAACCCTGAAGCCCCCGAATGGCGCGCTAACGCCGCAGGGCTACGAACGCTCGTACGTCAACGACCTTTCTCAATTGGATAAGTTTCGCGAGGAATCGTTCCAAGCGCTAATGACAACGCAAGAACGTCAGAATGGGGTGCTACAGCAGCTAGTCCAACAGCAACAAGAAAGCGTAATGGCGCTCACCTTACCACGACCCAGTTTACAGACGTTTAACGGCGATCCCCTAGGTTACTGCGACTTTGTGCGTGCGTTTGAACATCTGGTAGAGCGCAAGGCAAACGACCCCAGCGCAAGACTCTACCTTTTAGTGCAGCACACTTCCGGAAGCGTGCAGGAATTGATGCGAAGTTGTCTGTCCATGCAGCCAGAGGAGGGATATAGAGAAGCGCGACGCTTGCTTAAGGAGCGATACGGTCAGAAATACAAGATCGCCGCCGCGCACGTACAGAAACTCATCAACGGGGCCCCCATCAGAACAGAGGACGGCGAGGAGCTGCAGAGATTCTCCATCCAGCTGGTGAGTTGCACCAACACATTGAAGGAAATTGGTTACATAGGGAAACTGGACAATCCAGAAAACCTAAAGAAAATCGTCGATCGCCTGCCGTACCCACTTCGCGCGAAATGGCGAGACGCGGTGGACCGTATTGTGGAAAAAGAAGAAAGAGACGTGACAGTCAAGGACCTAACAGATTTCGTGACGATGAAGGCCAGAGCAGCCAGCCATCCTGTGTTCGGTAAACTTGAAAGAGCGTCAGACAAAATCACCGGCCCAGGAAATCAACGACCACGCCGTAGTGCCAACGGTTTCGCAACGCAAGGGGGCGAGCAAACCTCGACCGAAGCCAGAGAAAAGTGGTGCCCACTGTGTAAGATGGCCCACTGGCTGTCACGCTGCGAAAAGTTCCGGAAGCAATCGTTGGCCGAAAGAAGACAAGTAGTCAGAAACAGCAAACTGTGCTCAACTGTCTACTGCCAGGACATTTTGTTAATGCGTGTCCCAAACCCAGTTACTGCAAGGTGCCAGAATGTGAAACAAAGCACTCGACGTTTCTGCATCCGAGGTCCGAGAAGACGCCCGAACACGATGCTGATGCAACACCCCCTGTAGACGTAGAAACCAGTCAAGAGAGCGTAGCCAACGGAAACAGTACGCCAGCAGACGAAACCCTACACAAGCCGATAGTTTGTACGTTCGAATGTCGACCAAACCCAACGCGCCAAGATACGATTCTGTGACAGCGCTGGCCATCGTTCCTGTTCGCGTCAAGGCATCTGGCCATGGTGCATCTAAGACGGTGGAAACGTATGCATTCTTGGATTCGGGCTCGAATACATCATTCTGCACCGAAGCCCTGCTCGACCAACTCGACCTTCAAGGCCGCAAGACGAGTCTGTCGCTGACGACGATACAAGGTAAAAACTCGCTCGTGCAGTGCTCCCAGGTGAGTCTTGAAGTGTCTTCACTGGATTCAGCAGCACAGCCCGTTAATATGCCAGTGGTGTATTCACGACCATCTCTACCAATCTCCCGCGACGCCATCAGTAACCAGGAAGATGTAAACCGCTGGCCACATCTTGAAGGATTATCCTTGCCAGAGATCGACGCCGAAATCGGCCTGCTTATCGGAAGCGACGTCCCGAAGCAATACAACCAATGGAAGTACGACAAAGTGAGAGCGGAGGACCTTTCGCGACTCGGACCATCCTAGGATGGGTACTCAATGGCCCTCTTGGTAGAGGAAAGAACACGTCAGCTACGTCCAACTTTTTGCAGAGCACTGCTCGTCTTGAGCAGCAATTCCAGGACTATTGCAACTTGGAGTTCAACGACTCGTCCTACGATGCCAAACAGTCAATGTCGCAAAATGACAAGAGAGCGCTGGAAATCATGGAGGAAAGCGTCCAATTGAAGGAGGGTCATTACGAAATCGGGCTGCCATGGAAGAGTCATCCGCCGCAACTCAAAAACAACAGACCGGTAGCGGAAAGACGACTAAGTCTTTTGAAGAAGCGTCTTCAAAGAACCAGAAGTACACGAGAAGTACAAGGGCTTCATGAACGATCTTATCAAGAATGATTACGCCAGCAAAGTCGAGAACCGCGAAGTCGACCAGTCAAGCATTGCGTGGTACCTGCCACATCACCCCGTGTTCCATCCTCAGAAACCCGACAAGGTGAGAGTGGTATTCGACTGCTCAGCCAAGTATCACCAGACGTCTCTCAACGACCAGCTCTTACAGGGGCCGGACCTTACCAACTCGCTTGTTGGCGTCTTGACAAGATTTCGCGAGGAGCGCGTGGCTATGATGTCGGATGTCGAGGCCATGTTCTACCAAGTCCGTGTCCCTTCTGAAGATCGTAAGGCTCTGAAATTCCTGTGGTGGCCGGACGGCGACCTGGATCAACCAGTGCAGGAGTACGAAATGAACGTACACCTATTCGGAGGTGCCTCATCGCCCAGCTGCGCAAACTTTGCCCTGCGGAGAACCGCCCAAGATAACAAGGCCGAATTCGACCCAGAAACAACCGAAACTGTCGAAAGAAATTTCTACGTTGATGACTGCTTGAAGTCCATTCCAACAGATCCGGAAGCGGTGAGATTGGCAAACCACTGCGGGAATTGTTGGCAAGGGGAGGATTCAGATTAACGAAGTGGACGTCCAACTCTAAAGCCGTGCTGGAGTCACTACAGAATCAGAAAGATCGGAGCAAGTCAAGGACATGAACTTGGACAAATCTATTCAGAGAGCCTGGGTGTTCGCTGGAACGTATCATCAGACAAATTCGGTTTTCAGTATTGTAGTGAAAGACCGTCCCGCAACCAGACGAGGCATTTTGTCGGTGGTCAGTTCCGTTTTCGATCCGCTGGGATTTGTCGCTCCGTTTGTCCTTAAGGCGAAACAAATCCTGCAGGACTTATGCCGCTTGAAGCTCCGTTGGGACGACCCAATCCCGGACGAACACCTGGCCCGCTGGCAATCGTGGTTGAAGGAACTGCCGAAGCTCGAGGATGTGCAAATAGATCGGTGTCTCAAGCCTACCAATGACGCCAAGATCAGTTCGTTCCAACTGCATCATTTCTCTGATGCGTCGCAAGACGGCTATGGAGCCGCCACCTACCTACGTGTAGAAGATGAAGCCGGCAATATCAAGTGTTCGTTTGTAATGGGGAAGTCCCGTTTAGCGCCAATCAAACAAGTTACGATACCTCGTCTGGAGCTTTCAGCAGCTGTTACAGCCACGAGACTGGAGAAGATCTGTCGGGGAGAACTCACGCTCGAAGTGAACGACACGTTCTTCTGGACCGACAGCACGTGTGTCCTACGCTACCTACAGAACAAAGATAAACGATTTCAGACCTTCGTTTCCAATAGAATTTCTACGATACTTGATGCATCTTCTACTTTCCAGTGGCATTACGTCAACACCCTTGCCAATCCAGCCGACGACGCATCTCGTGGCGTGCCAGCGACACAACTCCAGCGATGGATACAGGGGCCGGATTTCCTGAGCAAGCCAAGGGCCGCTTGGCCACAGCCACCCAGTGATCTGAGCTTGGTCATTGGAGACAACGACCCCGAGGTCAAGCGACAATCCGCCACGTACACGAACAAAATTTCTAATCTACATCCACTTGCAGAGTTAGTCAAGCATTTCTCTTCTTGGAGTCGGCTGAAAAAGGTCCTAGCGCTGGTTTTGCGCTACCAGGCGATCCTGAAACGTCGCGTCATCCAGAAGAAGTTAAATCCTGCTGAAGCGATCGGGTTTTCAACGTCCATCACGCCTATTTCCGTGTCCGAAATGGTCAACGCTGAGAAGGAAATAATTCGACATGTGCAGCAAGAATGTTTCAGCGAAGAACGAGAATGCCTAGAAAGAATAAACCAAAGTAGCGATAAAGATCGCAAGAACGTAACGGTTAAGAAATCGAGCCGCGTGTTCCAGCTGGATCCAGTATTAAAGAATGGGTTGGTACGTGTCGGCGGAAGACTGCGGAGAGCACCAATAAACGACAACGCTAAACACCCTATCATCCTCCCGAAAGACCACCATGTTATTGGACTCCTTGTAAACCATTACCACCACATCGCGGGTCATTCCGGCGTCGAGCACACGCTTTCCCTCATCAGAGAAAGGTATTGGATCGTAGACGGAAGATCAGCCGTGAAGAAGGTCATCGGCAAGTGCCTCAGCTGTAAGAAACGTCAGTCAACAGTATGCAATCAAAAGATGGCCGACCTGCCAGAAGACCGGGTAACGCCCTCGCTGCCACCGTTTACGTATACAGGCGTCGACTGCTTCGGACCGTTCGAAGTAAAACGTGCGAGAAGTCGTGTCAAGCGGTACGGAGTGCTCTTCACTTGTATGACAACACGAGCGATCCATCTAGAAGTGGCCCACACGTTGGACACCGACTCTTTCATTGATGCTCTCCGACGATTCGTGGCAAGGCGAGGTCAACCTATGGAGATCCGCTCGGACAACGGAGGAAACTTCGTCAAGGGTGAACGAGTGCTAAGACAAGCCATTGACGAATGGAATCAAGAACAGATCCACGACTTCCTGCTTCAACGAAATGTCAAGTGGACCTTCAACCCACCCGCTGGATCTCACTTTGGTGGAGTGTGGGAGAGGTGCATAAGAACCGTAAGGAAGGTCATGAAGGCGCTGATGACGGAACAAGTGCTTCACGACGAGAGCCTCAACACGTTGTTCTGCGAGGTAGAGTCCGTGGTGAACAGCAGACCGATCACGAAGCTGTCAGATGATCCACGGGACGAAGAACCACTCACCCCAAACCACTTGCTTCTATTACGTCACCAACCCGCCCTTCCACCCGGTGTTTTTGGAAAGGAAGACAATCAGAACCGAAGGAGATGGCGTCAAGTGCAATATCTGTGCAACCTGTTCTGGAGACGTTGGGTAAGGGAGTATCTCCCCTTACTGCAGAAAAGACAAAAGTGGAACGCTTCGAAGAGGAACGTGGCAGTCAACGACATCGTTATGGTGCTAGACGACAGCAAACCAAGAGGAGTATGGCCCTTAGCTCGGGTGTTGGAAGTGTACCGCAACAAGCGTGACGGACTGGTACGATCCGTGAAACTGAAGACAAGCAGCAACGAGTTGGTGAGGCCTGTAGACAAGATCGTCCTCCTAGAAGAAGCCGCCTGATGTTGGTATGAGATCGTGATAAACATTGTTATTAAAACTAACGCTTTATTCATTTACTTATTTAGTTATTGACATTATTTCGTGTTTCAAACCATTTAAAAAACGGTATTGTAAAGGCTCGTAGTACCGCCTTTAAGGGGCCGGTATGTTGGTTTGAAACCCTAACTTTGTTATGTTATCGTATGTCGTTAATTTCCGTTTTGTTACTTCCTGCGACTACACGCGCAGCTGCACACAGTTTAATGTTTCATTGTATTGTATATCACTGTCAACTAGAGTATGGTCACTCTACTCTACAATTGTTATTTACGTTCATGTTCGAACTCTATCGACGGTATTCAGCAGCAGTTTGGTGTGTGCGCCAACTAAAGTAAGACTCTATCTTTGTGTTATTATAGTTTGTAAACATATGTAGCTACGTTAGTTGATTTATTCGTATTTAGTGCATGCCTGTTATAGTATTTAATTTGCCTAGATTGCATGACTTAGTGCGGTTTAATTCTTGTATTTTTAGTTCGAACGTTACCCACTATAATTCTATTCCGCGATCACTCTATTCAATATTCCGTTACCGGATTGATCAGTTACCATATACCTTCAACCGCACAGTATTATAAACTTTATCATTAAAGATACATTTTATAATCATTATCCGCGCACGTGTTATCCTATCATCGTGGTTAGCGAATTTAGTGGAGTTCAATTTGTGGCGTTAACGGCACACCAAAGCAGCGTAGCTCTCAGAAGAATTTGGGAGTTACATGAACAACTGAGCTGAAATATTTCGATGTAAATAGTTTGTCAATGGAAGTATACATATTATATATATTAAATGCATAAGATGTAGGTTCAGTCATTCACGAGATGTATGAGAGTGTTTTTAAACTTTGGCTTATCCACCGTTTAAGCTAAACGCCTTTCGAACAACCGGCCCCAGGGGTTATATATTGCTGTTTCACCGCCCTATCTCATATACGCCCTGCTAAAACCAAGCCGCGTTTAATTTATCTTAATCACGATACAGATGACTCCCTTAGCGTGCCTTCTATTTGCAGCATGAGCTGTACATCAAGCTGAAAGACCTTTTCTGAAAGAGAATTTCTAAAAATTAAGCTAAGATTGCTTTCCGCCGAGGGTCTCAAATTGTATAGGCGATTTAAAAAGTCTAGAATGAAATTTAATGTTCATTTAGCGTATATATATTAAGAACCAACGGACGTTTTTTAAGGAGAAGGAATTAAGAGTTAAAAGGTGAGAAATAAGTTTTTGCTCCCGTTTTGTTTTTTAGATATCTTCAGGCGTGCCAAATGTCGCAGCTGATCTTATATCTAAAAACTTAGACAAGGACAGAAAACAAAACAATTTGACAAACATTCATATTTTGATTGTTGCCGGTTGTTTAGGACTTGGCTTGACTGCTGCATTGATACTCAATGGTACCTCGAGAACCTAAAACCCTTTTTATTTAAGTAGCATGCATGATGCACTTTAGTTTAGCTGCACAAAGTTATGTTGTAAAAAGTGCTAAAAATATTTGTTGTTTAATTTGTACATGGAAAAAACGAATTGGGTTAAAATATTGCATAAACATCCCCCTTACGAAGCGTCATTTTCTATATTCTTCGTTTTAAACTATGGATTGGCAAAATATGTCGGTCAGCCTAAACTGCCTTACCACTATTCCAAAACCAACAACAGTTCGTGAATTATTGATATATATTCCCTCCCTTCCCACATATTTACCCCATTATTTCGTATATCTCTTTCTCGCAGATTTTATCTGTAATTACCAATTTATTTCTCGACAAGTTTCTAAGGCTACCGAGCCACCGGGCGGTTCGAATCTCGTTTAAATCAAAATTTTCATTGTAAATAATGCATAGTAAGATAAGGTTGAATAAATAGCCGTAGGCTTCCAACCATCACCAGTTATACTTGTAGTAAAAACACGGACGATTACGTTCAAGTTGAAGGGATCAAGAAGAGGAAGGTACTGTTCCTCATCATGATTGGGTAATAGTTATATTCGGTTGATCATCCAAATTAATGTTTATGGAAATTTAGGGGAATTAGTGGATAGATGTGGATAATTAGGTAGTGTATATTAGTACAACATATATTAGTACAACAAAACTTAGTAATGGGGGCGTCAGTCGGGGCCGGAGGGAGCTGGTTGCTCGGGAAGGCAGGACCCGCGGGCGGTGACAAGAAGGTAGGCTTAAAAATATTACTACTGTACTCAATTGTTCCTATTTATTGTCCTATATTTTACTCCTATCTATCCCTATCTTTTTCTAAACACAGATATCCCTAACGATATCACCTAAGTTATCCCTAACACTTCTAAATTTTTAAAGAAAGCTTAGAAAACGTACAAACCTTAGTAGATTTTAACATTGTCTTATGTTCTTGCTTTCATCATTCCTCTATGCCTTTCGTGAAATAAATTACTTCAAAGTTTAAAGTGGAAGTCAAGTCCAAATGTATACAAACGATTTGTTTACATTTTGAACTTCTATATAGCCTACTTTTTAAAATACGTTATGTTGTCCGAATATCTAACAACATTTTGGTTCTTAAAGTGAATATGAACTAGTGCTTATAACCATAAAAATTCGATACATGAGAAATTTGGGCAAAATTTTTATTTGAGGACCTGAGCCATATTGTGGTTTCAAAATGATTATTTAATTAAGACCCGCATAGTGAGGAAGTAAATTCCAGTGTGATTACGAATAGTGTGGCATTTTATTACATGTATTTAAATGATAGTCTTTGGCACCTAGTGTGGGCTAGTATTTCTAGATAATTGCTCAGTAGAAATAATAAGAAAACGCTTTTTCTTATTCATTTATCTACGACTCGTGAACCCTGATTTCTTATAACTTCGCACGAGATTACGGAGTTGTGAAATTATAATTAGTGTAAGTGGTTATTTACTGATTATAGGATTATTTCTTACAACTTGCACGAACGTGTATAAGTACATGCGTATTTATACAGTATAATCGGTTCTTTTTTATCCAATATAACATAGCCGACTTGTCTGTAGCAAAAATACAGAATACTATCCTCAAATAAGAGCAAATCCTACTCACCAATACCATACATTTCATATTTGTTCTCATATTCTGTTGTTACAAGTGGCTATTGGATCATTCGAAATTCAACATAATACAGTCCTGATTGTGGAAATTACTCATGAAATGCGGAAAACATACCTTATGTTGACACTATTATAATAAAAAATACGACTTCCCGACATAGGACTTCCTGTTAGATTTATTTCGCCAAAAATAGCTCAAAGATTATTATATAAGAAACTTGGTGCCAAGCAAGCTATACCACTTTAAAGTTTAGCAAACGTAAATAAAAAGTGCGCATATAATATATTGTACGTGCGCAACCGTAATTCCTCGAAAAAAAGAAATAAGAAGCTGGAAATCAATAAACTTGGTGGGTTTTTCAACAATCATAACATTGTCTGCTTTTTATGCTTTCTTGCTAAACTATGCGCATCAGGCGGACAATATAAATATCGACTTTTTTACTATTATGCACAAGCAATACACCATCTATATGGCTCTCTTTACAGTATACCGTATTAATTGACATGGTCACGACACCAAAATTAGCAATGTTAGAGCAGGTCTTACACGCTAAAGTATGATACTAACGATAGCGTTATTGCTCCAACATGATCCATTTTTAGATTAGAAAAGCTGGCGCAAAGTAAGATGCGCTTCTAATACATCGCCGTATATATAATTATCATTTTTCTACCATTACTATTCTTTGTAAATTTGTTGATAGAATCTGCATGTATTTGATGTTGTTGTACCGGGAATGAATGTTGTTCAAGATAAAATAAAAAATAGGCACGAATTTGTACATGTGGCTAGCAACTGCATGGTAAGTATGGTAACCGATGGAATAATCAAGATATGGTGAAAACTGCATGTTAAGTTTAAAGGTTATTTTGGTTTTATCCGATTAACTATTGAGACAAGGCGAATAAGTTACAACACAGTAAGACATTAATGATATTTATAATTATAAACTGAATACGAAATAAACGAATTGTTCTATGACTATGGCCAGCATCGTCTAAAGCTTTGACAAATACATGCACAACATTTTTATTATTTAAATGAATGCTTCCAACATCGTCTGCTGAAAGTATTTATCTGATTGTTCTTTCTTTTTTGTATTTTAGTATAATCAGCTATGAAATACAAGGTTACGGTCGAAACTGGGGATCTGATTGGTGCTGGCACCCACGCATCTGTTTCAATTCAGCTTATAGGTAATATATATAGAAATGAAAAATTATAATTGCAATTGGCAAACTTAATGTTATTTCTGTTGTTTATGTTCTGAACCGTTGAACCGTTCCGTTTGCCCGGAACTATGCCGTCATGCATCGTAAGTAAAAATATTCCTTATAATTTTTAGGCAAAAATGGAGCAGAGACAAAGAGATTTCCATTGCACAAATATTTCCACAACGACTTCAAGAAAGGTGAAACTGATACGTATGATGTTGAGGGCGATGACGTTGGTGATATTGCAATGATCTCTTTAAATAAGCATGATTTACTCCTATAAAGAGTGATTGGTATATGGCTAAAATCGTTATACAGAAGGGTGATGATGAAAGCAGCAAGTACGCATTCCCTTGTTATCGCTGGATTATTAAACACATGGTAGTCTTCGAAGGAAAAGGTACAAAATATTAATTAAGAACGTTAAAGCTCGTGTTAAAATCAGATCCGTAGTAGGTTGTCGAGATAATTAACTGGGATCTACACCGTTTTTGTACAATTTTACATTTAATATGTTTCTATGTATTTACATCGGAATATTTCTACACATCCATGCAGCCGAATTTTGAAAAAAACCCTTTCAGAATTAGACCTTTGATATCGCAAGTTTTATAGTATATTCAACAAGAGAACTTAAAGTGGAGGTTTAATCCGTTCTGCCCATCAGCTCTGTCTGATTTCGCATGTTTCGACTTTTTCGAAACATAAACTCTAACCCATATTCAATTAGAAGCGTATAGGACTGGAAAAAAGAGAATGCAAGACAATAAGATAATCAGACGTATTTTTAAAGGTTAGAAGTTACATAAAGTGTAAAGTGGAAGTTAAGTCCGTTCTGTCCATCAGCTCTATTCATAACAATGCCCGCTGCTGTTCTCTGATTTCGCACGTTTCGACTTTTTCAAAACATAAACTCTATCCCATATCCATGTATAGAAGCGTTCCGAACCTAAATAGAAAAAAGATAATCCAAAACAATAAGATAATCAGACGTATTTTTAAAGGATAGAAGTTGCATACGGACTTAAGAAATCTGCTTGTTTGATTACCAATTACTTGTATGTATCAAAATGCTTTAATTTTGCTCCCATGCATATACTATGATATCTTTCAGCGATATTACCTAATTCAAAGGAGAATGTAACAGTTTTGGCAGAACAACGTATTAAAGAAGTGAGTGGAAACAGGGAGTTGTACAAGTGGAGCTCAGGCACTCAGGATTTTCCTGGATACATCGATGCTAAAGACCCATCGTCGCTACCCAAGGACGTGCAGTTCACCGAGGAAGCCACGCTATCTCTTTTCAGTGTTGGCTTGGCGGATTTTACGAACATTGGGTTGAGCGGCCTGTTTGAGCTTTGGGATTCCTGGGATAGCCTTGATGATTTTAGAAACCTCGTCACTCCAGCCATTCAGACCCCTCTTCCCGATGCTGCGGACTATTGGAGAGATGACGTCTGGTTCGGGTCACAATTCTTAAATGCCTCAAGCCCAGAAGTGATCAGAAAATGTGAAAAGCTGCCTCTAAATTTTCCTGTGAAAAATGAAATGGTGGACAAGCTCCTGGATCGGGGTTATGATTTGAAGAAAGCTCTCAAGGTAAATAGCATAGTTTGTTTCATCACGTATCAGATGTTGTTTCCTTTCAGACGACAACAAGATTTACCCCGCAAGAGGCATGCACCTGTGATGTTGTTTAACATAGCTGAAGGTGCAGGTGCCTCAACCGTATCTAGAAGCTACAAAACGGAAATTATACCTGACAAAGAACCGATAAACATTTTCAATTTTTGCCATCATAGCAAGGCCTGATTTTCATCGTTGACTACGAAATTCTTGAAGGCATCAGCACAATGAACAAACCAAAAGATAAACGCTACATAACAGCAGCTATGGGACTTTTCTATCTGAGAAAAAACGATGATATCGTGCCTATTGCCATTCAACTGGGACAGCAACCTGGAAAAGACAATCCAATTTGGACACCACAGCAAGATTCTGAGTGGGATTGGATTATGGCAAAACTGTGGCTTCGATGTGCCGACACACAGTATCACCAGGTTAGACCTCCATATAAATTACTATGTTTTGAACCTTTGAAGTTGCTCATTCATGACACCTCGATAGATTGTGTCTAGATTATTGTTGCGGCAACAAATTGATGTATACCTATACTACATTAATTAAGTCCCTTA